GGGGGGGGGTTGGCAGCAAGGAGGAAAGCAGACGTACCTACATACGGACGCCAGAAAAGAGCAGGGTGGAAGGGACATTGGGATGGAAAGGTGGAAAGTTAAGGGGCTGCGCGGGCAAAACAAAGATAGAAACGAAGATAGAACGGAAAGGGGGATGGTGGGAGAGGGACCGAGCGGGGACCGAGAGGGACGAGGGAGGCGAAGGGGCAGAAAAATCGCCATGTCGCTATTACCCGATTTTGCAAACATTAATTTCCGAAAATGTTGATCGAAAGGCGAAGAAGAGGGATATCGGTAGAGTTGGATCGCGTGGCAGACCCCTCTCGTCAGCCGGCGAGAAAATGTGCGCGGTGTTACTTTACCTCCCACCCGGTACATGTTGGCCGTCATGTTGCTGGCGTCTTGTGTGGCCCCGAGAGCGAAATTGGCGTTCTCGTGGTTACCGTGGCTCTCGTGGTACTCGGCCGGCATCGGCATGAAGGCTTCTCGTCCTCCAGTTACGTGAATCGAACAGCCGGCACTGGCCACTTTACCAACGGAGATCACACTTCTCCTGCGGTGTCATTCCATCATGTTTGTTTGTCCCAATAACTGTGGAAAAACTGTTTTCTCGCTGGCTTTCCGATTTTTATTCGGACATCGGCCCGTGCCTACTGTATACGTGTATGTACGCGCAACGCTCGAAACGATATTTCGCGGATGAACACACGCAGCGACTGCACACTAGATTCCTCTCACGTGTCCGGTACCGTAACGAGCATCGTCAGTGGCCGTTGCTCCGTTCACACAGGAACACCGCCATTTTCATTTTGTCGAGCGGGCTACATATACGATCGGACAAATACGGCCTGCTCCCCTCTACCGGGGACACTGAGTTCACTTGCTCGCCTACGAAACCCGCGTGCATTCAAAAAACACCACTTAACGGGTCTGCCGGCGATTCCTGAGTACCGTCCGTTCGCCACGACTCAATCGCGGGATCCCGCTTCGACAAATATTTGATAGAAAACACGTAACCAGACACGATACAACCCGGTCAACGAATACCATAAAACAAGGCCACGAATCGGATACTACTAAGACCTGACGATTGCGCGGTCTCGAAAGCGTCTGCGTTGCTTTAACCAGAGAGTGGGGATAACTGGACGATAGAGTGCCAGTCGGTTGCGCATGCTCCGGCGTACCCGCGAAATTTAAAATCTCTTTCTTGGCATATCCCTGTTACTCGTTACGAGGCGAATTTGTTTCAGCGGAATAATTACTTTTCTTGAAAGCAAACAAATATCTACATCGGATTTTTGATGTATTTACTGTGATTCGGGATAACTTGTCTTAAATAAAGCTGAACGTAAAAAATGAACATAAAAAAACAGACGCATGATGCGCGACAAGAAATAAGAAATAAGAAATCTCTCGGTGTAGTATGTGAAATATTTATATATTTACGAAATTAGTCTTTCTATACAATTGCTTACGCGCAGTCACATATTTTTATCTGTTTCAATTAATAAAAAAATTGTATGTAAATGAATAATTAGATATTACTCACTAGTTTGTAGAGCCTGTGCGAGCTTGCCTTTCGCGTAAAACGTTTGGTAATGTGTTTGACTAACAATAAATAGTGACGAATAATCGATTTGATGCAAATACATAACGCAAAATTATATTTATATATACACAATAGTAATAGTAATAATAATAATACATATTCATGAATGTGTTTATAATTTAGTTTTTTTGCAATTTAGGTAATCATTTAAGGCACACCCCACGGTCTATACTAAGCAATTTTGTCGTTAATATTATATAAATAAATGTATACTGTTGCGTGTGCTAGTAACCTAAATTTATTATATATATATATATAATATATATATACATATATATATGATATATATATATACACATATATATAATATTCATAGGAATATTTATACTAAATATAGTAATCTGTTCTGTACATAATTCTATGTCTTTCATGTGATTTTTTTAAAATGAATAGTCATATCATTTATTAATGATAATAATGACAATAACATTAATAAGAATAACAAGATAATGCATAAGTGAGATGCGTAAGATGAAAGCATGCTCTTTTTTCCCTTTCATTGTAATATTTGTATCATGAGTAGTAAAAATGAGTGAAAATCAAATTTTACAATCTGACAATGTGAACACATTTATGGATTTCAAGACGACGATGAAATATTTCTTAGCAATAATTAATCAAAATGAAAAAGTAATGAGCACATTAGGTGATAAGATCATTTATACCACGTACATAATTTTAATTACAATTGTATAATACTACTCATGATTTAATTTAACATTAATATAAAATACCTATATATACCAACTTCGACAGTTTATGCATTTTTATGTACAAGAATAGCATCCAGACTTTCTTTCCAGTTGCGTATTTCTACTTACTATACTACTGTTTACGAATAAAAAAATACTAATATATTGCGTTACACGGGCAGTGTTTCCGCAGGTTCATCCCACCGATGATATAAGGCACCAACTTTTAGGATCCTGAGATTCAACCCGCATGCTTCGACAGATTTAGAGGCATATCTAGAGAAGACGTAAATAAAATGAGTTCCGTTGGCAGCAACATTCAACAGATATTAAACGGTAAATTTTTAAGAATTTACCCGAAGGAGGCGTTAAAGTCTGTTCCCTGTAGTCTTTGTAGTGATGAATTGGAGGAGATGGTGGATGAGGTGGTGGCGGTGCATACAATGGCATAGGAGGTGGATAATGGACGGGCGATGGATAATGCATCCATAAAGGAGCTCTGTATGGTCCAGGAGGTAACATTGGTACGCCATAAAGTGGGTGTTGAAGAGGTGCGTTAGTTGTACCAATGTATGGATCCATTCGTACTCTTGGGTACGAATTGCTTGATGAGTATTTCACAGTTTGCCTGTCATCTGGTTTCAATAAATTCCTCAAAAACCCTTGCTCATGAGTTGGTTTGTCTTCTCCTAAGATACTTGTTATACTATATGAAGATAATTGTTTTGGTGATGATGTAGGAGCTGTTGTTGTACAAACAGGCTGTGGTGTCGCGCGTCTTTTTGATGCTTGATCTTCTAACGATACTCTTTCTAGCTCACGCAAAATACGTTTGCGTGGAGAGACAACATTAGGATCTAGAAGACGTGCCAATTTGTCGATAATTAGGTTCAAAACTTTTCCCGTTGATGTACCATTTGCTTTACGAATTGGCTTCGTATAATTCGTTACTGATTCTGAAACGAGTAACAAGGAAGTAGGATCTAACGGACGTCTGCGCTTTTTTGCGACTAAGCGAGGATGTGCACACAGACGATTTTTTGGACTTCTATAATAGTAAAAATTAAACTCCGTGGATATTCTATGTCTTGGATTTGCTTGTTTCCAACAGTGATCTCTTTGCCAAGGACTTGATTGAACCGATGAATTATCATCTGAAACTGCAAATGTTAGAATTTATTAAATCTTATAAAATATTACTGTATTACATTGAATTTACCACTGAGAGAGGTAGAACTCTCTTGTCGATTCGGAGTTGTGCTGGCTGGTGGCCAAAATGTTTTCTTTGGAACTGGAAACCACGTAGTTCTTTCTCCATCCCTGCGATGGGACAGTTCCAAGATAAATTTGCCATCTTTAAAAAACTTTAAACGTCCACCAGGCGTTGGAAGTATGTTGTTATCAATGCCTGTTTCAGATGAATGATGGGTTGGCTGTGAGTTTGAATTTTTACCATTTGCCTTGGTAAGGGTTGAATGCAATGTAGGAGGATCACGTGAGCACATTTCTGTTGTGCCCCTCACGTGACCTGCGTGAGCATGACATTCTGCTGACTTCTCACGCATGCTGATACTTTATCGATATCCATTTTTCTCCGCTTGGCCTTTCATGCTTTAGCCTCTTAATATCAGTTTGACAAGAGAGGCAAGGCCTTAGGCAGGTTCTTCTCTTAAAACTATGAGTAACAATTTCGAATGAGTGTTAAAGTATTTTAGTTTCGCAGTTTAAGGAAAGCATCTTTCATAGGGGGGAAAGAAAACAAAAAAAAAAGAAAAAGGAACACTTGGCAAGGAACCAGAAGATAACTTGGCTATACAAAAGTATTGAACGACAGCGTTGATAATAATCGAATGTGTAGATTCCTCTCAAACTCAACAGAGTTGGTAACAACAAAAGGAAAGGATCATATTGATCTTATTTCTTTGATACTGTCAAATTGACATTGAGGCCAAAAATTGACAGTGAGAGCGGTGTCGCTCTGTAATTTAACTTAAATATTTTTTTCCTATGACCAGAAACATTTGTCCGGACAATGTGCCAATTAACGATACATCGGTCGAACAGGATGGTATCGAGCAAGAAAGCACACTATCATAGATGGAATAGTAACATTTTCTGCTAAATTCCAAAAGGAATTTTCTGTACATGAGTGGCAATCGCTTAGACACCCACCCACCCACGCACTGCCGCCTTTTGCAATCAGTTCTACTTCATTTCGAATAAGCAGCTCATCGCATTAACGGGCTTATTCACGACCAAGCACGTTGATATCTTAGAAACTGCTGCGACTGGCGTGTAAGTTGGCTCTCTGAACGGAAGATTTTCACGGATCAAACACGGGACGGGCACTCTGCTGTGGAAAACACAGTTTGACCGACACATGTGTTTCACTTCACCCACGAATGGTTTACGTGTCCGCGGCAATTGAGTTTATACATTCGATAACCCTTTGGAACGTGCGT